AAGGTGACAACAAGTGACTTCTGACTTGATTTACTTAGAGCCCGCCAAAAGTAGATGCGATACAGAGCATGCTCACATGGGCCTTTGTTTCTTTCCTCCAACACATGTTAACACCCCTGGAAACACTTTGGTTTAGATTTTGTTTTTCCTCGCTCGCTTGAACGGTACTCCTGTCCATGTGGGTACAAGCGTCGTTGTGGTTGCTCTAGTCACAGCGAACTAGTGCTCCAGCACAATGATTTGGAACGAAACCTCAAAACTGCCTTGGTTTTGTCTCCACATACCAGGTCTGGTTCATTGGGGACACAGCCCTGTGTCTCCACCCTTTGTCTCCACACCTGCAGGGGCCGAAGCCACCGATTGCGAAGACCAGGCAGCGCAACCGCGCGCGGCGCGGTGGCGGGGTGCAGGGGTCGGATCGGGTCAGGGATCTTCCAGCAGCGAGGCCCAGAGCTCAAGCCAAGCCAGCTGAGACCAGGTTCGGTTGATGCAGGTTTGGCACATGTTCTGTGTCCCCCCAAAGTGAAGTGTCCGACGACCTACTGGATGACAATTTATCGTGCCATGTCGTGTCCATGCTTTGATTTATGTTTATCCTGAATCAAGGGGAAAGGACCTGGTCATGTTTTGATTTCACCTGCAGAAGACTGAAAAAGGATGGCCCCTCTGAAAATTCCAAAGAAACCCCCTCCTCACCTGCGTCGATCTCATGGCTCGGCGGCAGCGCGGATTGTAGATCTCATGACGACGCCATCGATTCAGGCTCGAAGATGGGCCCGAGGCCTACCCTCTTGGTGAGCAGATTCTTTCATTGGTGTTCTACCGGTTGTTCGTAGCTCGCGAGACTCCGAGAGCTTCTCAAAATCAAAGCAGTCCACTGACTGGTTGTTCCCTTCCACTGTTTGAATTCGGTTCTTAAAACACATCTGGAATTCACATCCATCATGAAGTTAGTGTATAAAGGTTGTGTGTACTATATGTGTTGTGATTAGTTTCAGCCAGAATGCCTCCAATTTGTTGGCAGCAGAGATGTTCATGGCAGATGAACCCTTCCGTGTTATTTCAGGGACCACCCCAATCCTCTCACTTCGGATGTCATTTGGACCTGAACGACTCAAATGCCTTTAAGATCTTTAAGGACCAATTTGCTCATGGAGTTCGTCGTATTCCTCCGTCTTTCGGCAGAGGACAAAGCAGAAGCCTGCTGGATGCTACACGGCAGAATTGTTTGGTTTTGGCAAGGCGGATTTGCTGTTGGTCATGACCATGGGTCGTGTCAAACATGAACGCAATGACTATAGTTAGAGGCACAGCCTCGACTCTGGAGCATGCTCGTGTTCTTGATTGACTACACATTTTTCATGCCCATGACAACCTACAGCTGTGTACCTAGACCTAGCAGGACCTAGCAGTTCTTTCTTGGGCTGCGCCGTTTTGGATATCTCACTTCATCCCACCCGACCACATCGTCCGACTTCAGGGCGACAGAGCCGTTCACGGTGAGTAAGGGCGTGTCTTTGCATTGCACATCTGCAGGGCGGAAAAGGTTGAGGCTGCAGCCACATCTGGGTAACGACATCTACACTTGGTGGTCATCTCAGTCCCAGACATACCCCCTCTGAAGCCTTCGTTGAGTTAGAACCCACGTCATCCACCCAGGGCCGAAAACGCGGCCCAGGCCGTTTTCGGTCGTCATCGCCCTGACCCATCGCCCCAGGTTCTACGATCGCAGTGACCTCTTCGACGGCTGCGACCCCGAGTCGCCGGGCGCGCGACGGGAGCGGCGAGCCGCTCCCGTCGCGCCGGGGGAGCGCGGCTCCTTCCGCAGAGACTCGCGATGAGCGGCGCTTCGAAGGAGGAGAGGAGTGGAAAGAGGCCGAGATCAGGTAGAAGGAGCAGGCATGATCATGCTGACCCTTGGGGAATGTCACAATAGAGATATGAGATTTGTTCGACATTGAGAGGACATTAATATTTCATGATAATGATTGAGAATGAGATCATGCCCTCACCGCTGAGTTTGCGGTCCTGGATGTTTGACGTGTTGTTCTTCTCTTCAGGCATTTCAATATGTGTTCTGGAGATGAGGCTTGCTACTTGCTAGGATCTAGAAGCCCCTGAAGCTAGGAAACTGTTGGTAACCTGGTTCTTCAAAGTGACCTTTTGATAAGCTGGTTGGTTCGGTCACTTAAGCCTCCTTTACGGGTCACTTAGGGAACCTTCAAATGGTCACTTTGAAACTGTTGGTAAGATGTTAATTTTGTTGAATTTTCTTGGTTCCCGCGAGGGATTTGCACAACGTCCACGCTGTTCACCAGACTTGTTGACGGGCTCCGACTGCGAAGAAGCAAAGACCATTGAGCAGGAGCGGGTCTACTGGACCGACAAAGGACCATTCGTGAAAACATAATATGAGAACATGTATATATATATATATATATTAGGCTTAGTTGCTCCATAAATCGCAAGAGTCAGCATCCTTTGTGTACGACACGAATGCCAGATATCGATGTTGGTTTTCTTCCAGATGGAGATACTTTCTTGTGACACGGTGTCCATGCCACCTGGCTGCCCGACGTGGAAATCGCGGCCCGGCCTCCAGTGGCTGAAATTGTAGACGAAATGGTGCACACTCCATTTTGTGCCACTGGCAACCGCCTCCAGCCAGAAGAAACCTTTAAACATATCAGTCACAAGTCATCCGGGCCGCCTTTTAGAGACGCTCAGAGCCTCTGACGCTTCGGGCAAGAGGTTGGGAGCGGTTCATGACAGGGGGAAAGTCCTATCACAGACGCAGAGTCTTGTCCTTGCGTTGATCAATCTAGAGGAGAATTACATCTTTGGCCTGGATTTCAATCAACAATTTGATACAATTTGTATGAATGCAAGCATCTAAAATGATGTTCGATGCTTGGTAGTACACCCATTGCCTGTATCAGATATCATCAGTTCTTGAAGGGGAGTGGAGCTGACCGAGTAGGAACATTTTGCACAGTTTCCTCAGAGACTGTGTTATGGAGTCTTTTGGCGGTATTTTTGTACGTTTTCAAGGGTTTTTTTTGGGGCCAAATGGTTTCATCGTCATTCGAGTATGCTTTCAAGGGATTTGGGGGGGCCAAATGGTGTCATCGTCATTTGAGATGAACAGGCTTCAACAGTGTTGCTTTGCTTTGCAATCTTTGTGGATGGAAGGAGTTTGCCCGTGGTACTTTGCATGTTACCTAAGTTCCTAACACGCTTCAATTGCCCAGCTGACTCGTTGTGGTGATGACTCAGTAGGCAACAGGTGGGACAATTGGGATGAAGCTGTTTGTCACCAGAGTCACCAAACTTTGTTTGTAGGACTAAGAATGGACCATGTTTTGTCAACGAAGCAGAACCTCTTTGGTGCTTGTTTTGTTGTAGCAAGGTGAAAATTCCTGGTGCAAGTGCAGATGATTGTCACAACGTCCAACTTTTCCTTATGTCCTGACTTGGTAGATCCCGAGAGACTTAGCTTGCAGCCAAAGGGAGCTACACTTCATGTAGCCTGCTGCAGTTGACCGACCGGCTATGGGGGCGTCGAACAGTGAAGAAATGCTTTTGCGAGTACTTCCCTTTTGGACATGACTTTGGTTGTTTCCCGTTTCCCTCTTTATTCCCTTTGTATATCTTTCCATATTTTTCCCCATTTTGTATTCCGGGAATGAGTGAATAATCCATATCACCATTTGCTTAGTCGATGTTTCCTGTCTTCTGAGTCTACTGAACGTTCGGATCCAACTTGCGAAACCGAAAACGACGACCTGAAAAGCCATAGACGGACAAGACATGATCCTGCCAAAACGTTTCTTTAAATGAACCACTGCTAGCGATTCCCTAGCTGCTAGCGATTCCCTGGCACCCATGTGTTACATTTAACAAATCATTTAGAATCATTCCCTTGAGCCAAGTATGTGTCCGTCTTCATGTAGTGGATCCACTTCGCTGTTGTTTTCTTGCTAGTGACGCCTGGCCCGGCCCTGTTGCCCCGGTACGGAATGATCCTTCTGTGCTCAGAATCTGGGCATTTGGAGACTGCAAGAACCAGGTTCAACACCCTTCAAAGAATGAGGTATTTCAATGTATTTTATATAGATTCCTTGCAGAAACTCAGCAGATTCCAAGCCCCCCTTTTTCATGCCCTCCAAAAAAGTCAGGTGTACCTCGAAAAGTGAACCGGAAACGATACAAAAACACTCTTGTTTGGGGTCTCGTTCCGATTTCGAAAGGGGGTCAACCCCCACCCCAACCCCGCCCCAACCCGGCCCGTGCATGATTGAGCGTCGACCCCCAGTATTTGCCAGGCCTGAAAAGGTTTGACCATCCATGTCTGGGGGATTATAGAATCAAGAGTCTACATCAGGTTTCCAGGAGTCTTGGAGAATTCTCATCTGAACATCCACTGCCGCAGCGACTTTGATGCAGTGTCCAACCTTATAAGATCTGTCGTCGGACTCGTGCCCCAAAGCCGGGTGCGCCGCGTTTACCACGTCGTCGTTGGCACGTCTGTCACCGCGTAAATTGTGTGGGCGATCATGGAAGTTTGCGCATCCACACCTTACGGATGATTGACAGCACATGACAGCACCATACGAAGCTTGGAGATGTGATCGGTGGGCTCCACTACATGCGAGTACTGAAGTAGACCATGAGTACTGTAGACGGCGAAGAATCACAAGTCTTGAGTTGCCCTTAGATTGATGAGCCAGGCTTGAAACCAAAAGCTCAATTAACTAGCTTAGTTCGGAGTAAGATTAAGATTATTATGATACAATGCTGTTTTTGGGTCGAATGTGTCCCAATGTATGCAGGTACCCATCAAGACAAGATAATCCAAACAAAGACACCCCTTGCAAATTCCCTATACATATATTGAAGTGCGAGGGCCAGAACGTTGACTTCTTTTGATCCGTGAATCGCTCTCTACATCCAGAGACATCCACATCGGACCTTCGCAGACCGACATCACGGACCTACGCAGGGCCAGCGCATGTTTTTTCTAATTCCGAATGGCGTATTGCCAGCTCTCCCGCGAAGAGACCGATGAGGCGCGCAATTGGCGATTGGGCCGCGTGATGTGGCCACGGCTTCTTTGCGCAATTGGCCCCAAAACTGGGGTCCTGGGTTGGCCCTTTGGGTTGGCCCTTTGGGTTGGCCCTTTGGAATGCTTTGGAGGTTAGCTAGAAGCAGCTAGAAGTGCATTTGTCCTGCTTATTTTGGACCAAAACACGGATAGTTTGTTCATCAATTTGGACCACTTGTGGGGGTCACACCACACACTCGGAGATCTATGACAATGTATGACAATTGGATTTTGGTTGTGCTTCGTCTTCATGGATCTTCCATATCTTTTTGGGGGTGGTCTCGCGTTGAAACAAAACACATCAAAGACGCACCAAAACACCTCAGGTCCCCTTCCATGGCAGGACTTGGAGTCTGGCCAGTTGTCAGAGGGCAGCGACCCGAGCGAGGAAGAAAGGACAGGCGACCGGGACAGCGAGGATGATCTCGCTCGTGACCTGAGCAAGAGCCTGGGCAAATTGTCTTTCGGGTTACTGTGGACATGTGGTTTGGAGAATCGTTGGAGTAGAGGGATGTTGTTCTTTGTTGTGTTTGTTTGTTTGTTTCTGGATGGCCGAGATCAGAGATTTGTTCTTTTGACCGCATATAGAGAAAGATGCTCAATATCACAGTGGACATTTTCAGAATGCCCCCTGGATGAGCTTGAGAGATGCCCACCACTTTCAACTGGCAAAGCGCCTAGATCTCCGACTCTGAGCAACAGGAAGAAGCGTCGCTATATATAAATTGAGAGATAATATCATCCAGATGTGATGTGAAATGGTGTAGAACATCGTAGAACCAGACAGGATGATTCTGAGCCCGAAGACATCCGAAGACAAACAATCTGCGGGAAAGCTTTTGGTCACAGACTGTGAATCATCGAGTCATCCGCAAGTCCACTGGAGCATGGTTCACTACAGCTAATTCTGACCCACTCCTAACCTATATGCGTGAATGTCTTTTGTGGGTCCGGCTACTTGAACCCCCATAACTGGCGAATCTTGTAGAAGCCACTCCTAAAGCAAGTTTGCGGTTCTTCTTCAGGGTCCCTCGGCATAAAAGACATCTGAGGATGGTCAAGTGGATGAAGTCACTGGAAGAGCTCAGCAAAGAACAGCACTTCTGGGGTGACGAGGAGTCGGAGGACTGCATCGTAAAAATTTGTCGGGAATGGCTTCATCGAGAGAAAGCAAGAACCAGGGAAGGGGGAAGGCTGTGAAGAGGTGAGTGGAAATCGAGAGGATCCAGATTTGGGCCGACATGTCCAGATGGGCGCCATATTTACTTCTATCGCTCAAGGTCACAAGCTTTGGGTTGCTCCAAAGGGGTAGCTTTTCAGAGTTGAAGCTGTGGGATGCGACGACGAAGAACAGCGACTGCAGCCAGCAACTATTGTAAAATCCTGACTCCTCATATCCGGACGAAGATCCTCGGGCACGAGAGAACCTGTTTGTGCACTAGAGAACTGTTGATGTTAAGACGCACCGTTGATGTTAAGCGCTGTGTTCATGCCATCATCCAAAACTGGAAGACTGCTTAAATAAAGATCCTAGAGTTCTAAAGTTGGTCGGTGTAGAAAGGTCTTAAGTTTGCGACCTGTGTGGGTTTCCTGGTGTTTGAGTTTCATGTGTTTTTTTTTTGGCATCATAAGGCTTTGTGGTTGCTTGTTGTTGGTGAGTTTATTGGCCTTCTAGGTTTCTTCTTGTGGTTTCCTATCGTTTCCTGGTGTTTGTTGACAGAACACCCTAAGCAACAATCGAATCACATTGAATCCAATTCCTAGCAAGCCAAAACCAATTGCCAAGCCAGCTAAGCCGTGCCCCAAATCAACATGAAACCCCAAAGTTGTCGCCGCACCACAGGAGAGGAATATTGATTTCAACCTGAGACTGGTTTCTCTGAATGAGATGAAGAAGAAGGAGGAGGAGGCCAGGATACAAATTAACCCCCTTAAGGCGAAACATGGAGGGATTTGTCATATTACAAACGACTTCATGACTGCAGTGATTGGTTGGGCAGTGGAGTAGTTGTTTGTTTGTTTTTTGTTCCCATGTAACGTGCCGCCACCACCGCAACTGCTAGAGGGAAGCCGCCCCCTAAATCTTTGCGTCATGCGGTCATGCGTATGGTCGCAAGTGTTGCCAATCTTCCCTCCGGTGGGATTGGACGAGGAATCAAGACTGCAGAAGATTTTGGACGAGTTTGCGGCCAACTTTCCCACACAGGACAGAACGAACTTGGACGGCCGAAGACGAGACGCCAAAACGTGCGGCAAGTGGTTTTTTCCCGAAAGCATTGCGAAGGGTTCTTCCGGAAAATCCTTTGAACACTGACACTTCGACACTCACACTGACACACTTACACTTCGACACTCACACTGACACACACACACACACACTGGAAGAGCGAAAGCATCCAAGTGCGAAGTATGCCAGGGCGAAAGCATCCAAGTGCGAAGTATGCCAGGGTCAAAGTATGCAAGTGTGAGTATGCAAGCATGCAATGACTATGCAAGGGCAAGTGTGAGTATGGAAAATATGGAAAAACTAGCACGGGAGATGTCCTAATGAAAAAACATTTCCCCACTTTATAAATTCTCTCTTAAAGGCGGGGTGTGGGACGAACAGCGTCAACCGAAAGTGCAACCCTCTGCGGAGATCGTGCGTGTGGAGTGCGCGAAATGCAGGCGAGAGTGCGATTTGTCCGGTCCGCGCGC